TAATTACTTGCTTTGGTAGAGTGGATGCAGAGGGCATGTTTCCTCTTCTTGGGGCAGCACAAAACAAGAAGTCATGAATATGAGATAATCACTGAAATTTAATAGGAGTTTCACATAGAAAACTTCTTTACCCTATGATTGGTAAGAATGTGAAAAGCAGCTCCAGGCATCTTCAGGATTGCAACCTCTTAACTCTTAAGAGTGCTTCGGGGATCAGTGCTGGGGCCCCATTTACTTACAATACACATGAATGACTTGAATGAGAAAAATGAATGTACTGTCACCATGTTCTACTATTGCTTGATCATATCCCAGATTTTCCCTTTCTAGATACCTCTTCTCCTTTTTGATAGTGCGATACTCCACATTTCTACTTTCCTTCAGTTCTGAGAAGATCCATTCAATTTGAAATTTTTCAGTCCTCCGGCCCCAAGAGCCTCGAGGTGAAACCTGGTGCAGGTCTGGAGTCAAGGCCCGGTACAGGTCTGGAGTCAAGGCCCAGTGTGGACTGGAGGCTAGGTGCTGCCGTGGATGGGGTTAGAAGGACTGTTGTTCTGAACTTTTTATTTCTCTATTTTATAATTTATTCCCACAATCCGCAATGCTGGACTTTTTATTTATTTATTTTTGTAATTTTTATTCCCCAAGAACTTGTACTGAAGATCTGTACCTTGTACCCAAGATAGCACCATAAGTGGCACCTTGTAAACTTTTCACTGTTCTCATTTGAGTATGTGACAATAAAGCGAATTCAATTTTACTCTCCAGTCTTTGGCAGACCTCCTGAGCATTTTCAGTTTTTGTGAAGAAGGGGTCACTGGAACCAAAAAGTTAACTCTCATTTCTCTCACAAATCTTGCCAGACCTGATGAGATTTTCCAGCAATTTCTGTTTCAGGTTTTATTTTGGATTTCCAGCATATGCAATATTTTGCTTTCTTTTCAGTTGCGAAACGTTTCTGCCAATGTGTCTGTGTTCAAATATGGTTCAAATTATTTGTAATACCATAAACCGTAAGTAAAGACAAAACTGTAGAAGTTGGAAATCCCAGAGTGCTGGAAAGATTTAGTGTCAGTTAACATTTATTGTGTAGATTCCAGACAGGCAGTGCAATTAAAAAAGTTACATGCCATCGCCGTAATGTGATATTCTGGGATAAAAACACCCTTCTTGCCTTCAGTTGCTGTCAAGGTGCAATGGAGTAGGTGTAGTGTGTTCAGTGAACATGTCATGTACAGTAACAGGAGCAAACACACCCCAGATGATGTGCGAGTCTGTGATATTACAGCAATGAAAATATTGTCAACAAACTTCCTTCTCAATAAGAACCCAGTCTTTGTGCTGTTGTTACGTGAGCTAACAGATAGAATTAGAATTAGAATTAGAATTAGAATTAGATTTAGATTTCATTGTCACGTGTACTCAAGTATAGGAGTACAGGAGTACAGTGAAAAGTGTACAAAGTCACCATTTGGACCATAGCATAGTGTGAGACCCAAAAAAGCACGTCAGGTTCAGTATTAGATAGCACTTGTAATAAGCTAATATTCGAAGTATCAGAGAGGCTTTTGGAATTCTGGTGGAAAATCCATAGCTGTATTGATTTATGTGTTTTGTTCCATGGCCCTAACTGAATGAAAATTTAAGTATTTTTGCTTGAAGTGAAGGGGTCAGTCTGTTTTGGGTTCCTGTGGCCGTTGGGTCATTGATGACAAATTTGTAGTAATTGCGTATCGGTATTCTCTCTTAGAGGCGACAGAGTGGGTGGAATGGGAATTTTACAGATACTGTCTGACTCTTGTAGGTGCCCTGGAAACAGAAGCATAGCCCAGTGCTGCTCCTATCCTGCAGGCGGCGGTGTGAGGTGCTGCTCCTGGTATTTATGGAAGCAACAAAAACAAAAATTGCTGGAAAAGCTCAGGAGATCTGGCAGCATCTGTGGAGAGAAATCAGAGTTAATGTTTTGGGTCTGGTGACCCTTCCTCAGAACTCAGGAACAGTTCTGAGGAAGGGTACTGAAAACAACAAATGTTGGAACTCACAGTGGGTCAGACAGCATCCATGGAGAGAGAGCAAGCTAACGTTTTGAGTCTAGATGACTCTTCATCAGGAGCTGCGGAAGAGTGACTGGACCTGAAAGGGTCACCTGATGAAGGGGCGATGCTGTGAAAGCTTGCGATTTTAAATAAACCTGTTGGGACTATAACCTATTGTGTGACTTCTGACTTTATTCTGCGGGTCGTGGTATTTATGGGCGTTCCCAAAGATGAGTTGCTGCTGCTGTCCTGTAGGTGGCAGCATTTATGGAGGTTCCCAAGAGTTTGGGGGAATGAGGTGCTGCTTGGGTCTTATAGGAAACAACAAATGCTGGAGATCACAGCGGGTCAGGCAGCATCCATGGAGAGAGAGAGAGCAAGCTAATGTTTCGAGTCCAGATGACTGTTCATCAGAGCTGACATGAAGGGGACAGCGTTTATGCTATAGTTGTGGAGGGAGGTGGTGAATTGTAGAGTAATTGGGGGAGAAAGGATGTTGATAGTGCAGATTAAGTGATCAGAATGTGAGAATGGCAGACCAACGGTGTGTCTAACTGCCAAACTGTAACAGACAGTCCCCCTGGGGTCGGGGAGGTGAGTGAGGACATGTTAGAGAATGTAACAGGTAACTGGAAGGAATGGGAGTTGGTTCACAATCTGAAGGTGTTGAACTCCATATTTAAGTCCAGAAGGCTGTAAAGTACCTAGTTTGAGCCTGAAATGATGTTCTTCCAGTTTGCACTGTGATTCACTGGAGCACTGCAGCATACTGAGGACGGACAAGTGAGCATGCGAGCAGGATGCTGTGTTAAAATGACTGAATACGGGTCATGCTTGCACACAGACCGGAGGTGTTCTGCAAAGCGGTCACCCAATCTGCGTTTGGTTTCTCCAATTAGAGTAGGCCACATTGGGTGCAGTGAATACAATACACAAGATTGGAGGAGGTACAGGTGAAATGCTGCTTCACCTGGAAAGGCTGTCTAGGACCTTGGATGGTGAGCAGGGAGGAGGTGAAGGGACAGGTGTTGCACCTTCTGCGGTTACATGGGAAGGTGCCGTGGGGATGGTGTTTGTGGTCGATGAATGGACAAGGGGGTCCTGGATAGGCCGATCCCTGCAAAATGCAGACGGGGGAGTGAGGGGAAAATGTTTGGTGGTGGTGTTCTGCTGGAGTTGTCTGAAACGTTGTAATTGTATCCACATCCACCACTTCCTCAGGAAGTTCATTCCACATGCAATTCATCCAGTGTGAAAAATTTGCCCCTCATGTCTTTTTTTAAACCTTTCTCCTCTTACCTCAAAAATGTGCCCCCTAGTCTTGAAATCCTCAATCTGTGGAAAAAAAAACTGTACCATTAATTCTCATTATTTTATAAATTTCTATCAGGTCACCTCTCAACCTCCTACACTCCGGTGAAAAAAGTCCCAGCCTATCCAGCCTTTCTTTTTATCTCAAACCTTCCATAGCCAACAACATTCTGGTAAATCTCTTCAGAACCCTCTTCAGCTTAATAGTATCCTTCCTATAACTGGGCAACCAGAATTAGACACACTATTCTAGAAGAGGCCTCATCAATGTCCTGTAGAACCTCAACATGACTTTTCAATTCCTATACTCAAAAGGATTGAGCAATAAAGGCAAGTGTGCCAAACATCTTTTTAACTACACTGTCTATACGTGACACAAACTTCAAATAGTTATGTATCTGCATCCCTCTTTTACAACACTACCCAAGGGCCTACAAATAATTGTATAAACCTTACCCTTGTTTGTTGTACCAAAACGCAATACCTCGCATTTATCCAGATTGAACTCCATCTGCCATTTTTCAGTCCATTGACCCATTGATCAAGATCCCTTTGTAATCTTAGAAAACCTTCTTCACTGTCTACTGTGCCACCAATTTTGGTATCATCTGCAAACTTAGTAACCATGCCATCTGTATTCTCACTCAAATCATTTATATAAATGACAAACAAAAGTGAACACAGAACTGATCCCTGTGGAACACTGCTAGTCACAGGCCTCCAATCCGAAAAACAACCCTCCACTATTACTCTCCGTCTCCTGCTGTTAAGACAATTATGTATCCAATTGGCAAATTCACCCTGAATCCTATGTGACCTAACTTTACCTAATTAGTCTACCATGCGGAACCTTGTCAAAGGCTTTAACCGAGACTGAAACCATCAGAGGAGCAGGAAAGTTGATGTTTCGGGTTGAGACCCTTCTTCAGAAATGGGAAGGGGAGCTCAGAAATAGAGAGAGGATGGATGGGGCTGGGGAAGGTAGGTGGGATGGTGATAGGTGAGTGCATGTCCAGAGGGTTGCAATGGGAGAGAGATCCACTGAGGTCTTTCCGGAGGGAGGAGGACAACTTCTTCAAGGTGGGCATCCTTGGAAGAGGCTTCGCAGTTGGGTTATAAATCAGTGAGATATCTCTGACTCCACCATCTGCAGTTCTTGCTATCTCGAAACGTTAGCTTGTTTTCTCTCCATGGATGCTGCCTGACCCGCTGTGATCTCCAGCATTTATCGTTTTCAGCACAGATTCCAGCATCTGCAGTAATTTGCTCCTACCGGTCCTCCAGGTGCCGGTATTTATGGAGGCTCACGGGGGTGAGGGGTATGAGCTGCTGTTCCTTCCCTGCAGGTGGCGGTATTTATGGAGGCTCACGGGGGTGACGGGTATGAGCTGCCGCGCCTTCCCTGCAGGTGGCGGTATTTATGGAGGGGTGACGGGTATGAGCTGCCGCTCCTTCCCTGCAGGTGGCGGTGTTTATGGAGGCTCACGGGGGTGAGGGGAATGAGCTGCCGGTCCTTCCCTGCAGGTGGCGGTATTTATGGAGGCTCAGGGGGGTGAGGAATAGGGGCTGCCGCTCCTTCCCTGCAGGTGGCGGTA